CCCCTCCCTGCCACGCATCCTCTGGCCTCGGAGCACGGCCCTGAAATACAGAGGACGCTGCCCAGCAGGGGGCTACCTCCGTGGCAGAGAAACAACGGGTTCCACAGCAGGACGGCCCGCCGCTGGTGTCCACCACTCCACCACGACATGACTGGAGTCGGCTACCCTCTTCGACCCAACCCCGAAGAGAGCAGCGGGGGTCTGGGCCAAGCCCGGCCACGAGCTCCTTCTCCTTCCTGCAGCATCTCGTGCTGGAACATAAGCGCATTGTAGGTGTCCCCGGGGCGCAGCGAGTCCTGCATTCTCCACACGTGTGCCACAGCTGCGGCCTGGGCTCGGAGGTGCGGCTGCTCACAGGAGGGGCCGACGGCGGATCTGGCTCGCAGAGGGCGTGTAACTGGGTCACAGACATCACGCCCCGTGCCTCCACCAGCTGCCCGAGTGCTTTGCCGATCAGGTCCACAATGTGGAGTAAACTTCGTGAAGCTGGTAGAGTCCAGACCACCGAAGGCTCCCGCAGAGGGAGCAAAGCCGGGGTCCAAAATGCACAGAATGAAACTTCCCTGCCCCCCAAGGACGGCGAGGGCAGACCCAGACCCTTGGCTGTTCCTCTCCCTCACAGAGCTCGGGGGCACCCCAGCTGCACACAACATTAAGCGTGCAGCCCATTAAGAGCTTCTAGCGCTCACGACAACCCTTGCTGCCCCTCCTCAGACATGGGGAGCAGGCGTGAGGAGCTGAAGCAATCCACTAAGCCGGCAGGACCCACAGCCGGGGCTCAGCCGGCCCCAGCACCCCTCTCCCCGCCACGCTGCCTGGCTGGAACAGAACACACAGATTTGGAGGCAAGCTCTCACCAACTTTGCCCTCGCCTGCACTCGGCTCCCCACCACCCCAAACAAGCACAAGACCTCAGGCCCGGCTCCGAACACCCTGGTCGCTTGCAGCAGGCCTCAAGTCCCTTTCCCTCCACAACAATCCCCACCCGAGGGGATGCAGGAGGCAGCAGGAGGGGCCCTTCACCTCCAACCACCTGAGAGATGTTCAGGGAACGGTCTAGAAATGGCTGCTCCAGCTCCCAGGGGTTTTAGTCTGGCTGGGCAAGGTGGATACTGCCTTCCTCAAGGTGCTGCCCAGGGATCAAGTTTGTCTCCTCCTGCCCAGAGCCTTGGCTTTCTAAGACTCTCCAATAATATGGGTCCAAGAGAAAAAGAGTGTGAAACAGTTAACAGCCTCCGGAAGCCGCGTACTGGATCCGTCTCCGAGGTGAGCCTGCAAGTCCCCTGTGGGCCGGCAGCATGGAGGGCCTGCAGCGCCGGGCTCCTTCCACTGCCCTCTGTCCCTTCTCACAGGCCACCCCGGCCTTCAATCCTGACCCCTTCCACCACGAGGGAGGACCTCGTGTACAGTAAACATGCCCCCGGCCACAGCCACACCCGTGGCAGGCAGACTGCGCTGAATTCCCAGGCCAGGACCTCAGAACCCTTCAACTCCAGGGAGGCCCGAGACTGCCATAAACCACTCCTGCGGAGAAGGCCTGTGCTTCTGGTCTTTCCACGCGGGGAAACTGAGTCCTGGAGAAACGGTGACTTGCCTGAAACCCCCTCTGAACTCCCAGGGCCGGGTGCTGGGCTGCTTCTCCTTCCAGAGCACAGGTCCCACAGCACCACGGACTCACGGGCTGCTGCTCAAACACTCCGGGCACCTGCCCCTTCCTGCTGGGCCGAGACGCCTGCTCTTCTGCCGTCAGCCCTGGGCCCTGGGCCCCCAGCCTTGGCAGCTCAGCTCCAGCTCCAGGAGGAGAAACCGAGTCCTGACCAGCCCAGCCCAGCCCGGCAGCCACCGTCCCTGGGAAAGAGGGAGCAGGCGCCCGGTGCTGTCTGACTCCTGCCTCGTGAGGCTGTCAGGCGCAGCGGTTAGACAGCTGCCTGCTTTAATGACAGGGCGACGGCTGCGCTCACTCGGCCCGAGAAGCAATTACCTTGAAAATGGGGGTCACGGGCCCCACTCGTTGGCTTTAATTGAATTCCAATATGTGCCTCCGCTGCCTTGACCTACCGTGTAGCTTCCTAAATACTCAGAGGGAGCGGGCTAATCCCGGCGGCTTCCTCCCCAGTTCCACTCCTTCCCTGGAACTTAAAAACACCTATTTTCATAAGAAGAGGAAGCCAGGCACGGAGGGGACCCCACTGCAGCCACTTCGGGGTGAAGGGCTTGGCCTGGAAACCTTAAGGAGATGCCTGAAGAGGAGTGGGCGAGAGGGGCTGGGGCAGCAGCAGTTCCAAGGGCCCCGGCCAGGCCCAGCCCGTGTGCCCTTGCCGTGGAACCATGAGCCAGGGCTGACCGCTGAGAGGGACGGCGGAGGCCACTCGCCAGGGCTGCACTGGGACGGAGGGAGAGCCCTGGGCTGGAGGCTACCCCAGGCCTCCGGCCCGGCTTTGCTCGCAACATCACGACTGGTTCCTCGTCTCCAGAAACAGGGGCACTGGGCACATGGAAGGTTCTCAACCAGGGTCGTTTTCTCCCGACGTTCAACACTGTCTTTAGACGTGTTCAGGTGTCACAAGTGTGTGTGTGCACGTGTGAGTGTGTATGTCTGAGTGTGTGCGTGTGTGAGTCTCTGTGAGTGTGTATGTGAGTGTGTGTATGTGCGTGAGAATGTATGAGTGTATGTGTATGAGTGTGAGTGTGTGAATGTGTATGTGTGCGAGTGTGTATGAGTGTGAGTATATGTGAGTCTGTGTGAGTGAACGAGTGTGTGTATGTATGAGTTTTTGCATGAGTGAGTATATGTAAGTCTGTGTGTGTCTGTGAACAAGTGTGTATATGTGAGTGTATGTGTGTGTGAGAGTGTGAGTGTGTGTGCGCGTGCATGCTGACAACTGGCAGGCAGAAGCCACTACAGAGCACAGAACAGCAAAAGAACCATCGGGCCCCAACTTTCAACAGACAGAGCCAAGGTTGAGGAGCCCTGCATTAGACGATCTCTGAAGATGCTTCCAACTGAAGCACGCCTTCCCCTCCGGGTCATGCCTTCCAGCACCAGCCATTTTCCCACTTCCGGACTCTCTGGCCTCCCCCACTCCCCACTCTGCCAGGATTTGAACTAGGCTAGCGGCCCCTCCCCTGGCAGCACCAAGCAGCTCCCACAGGGCACAGACCGGAACAGACCCTCTGGGCTACCTCGGCCGAAGGACTCCGAAAGCACCTCGGGTCCTATGGACGGGCCAAGGAGCGGGACCACAGCAGCCTGTCCCACTGGCTCGGCCTTCGCACCCTGCCTGGCGGGAGCTGGGAATGCTGGTCCACCCTCTCCTTTCACAGACACAGACACTGAGGCCCAGGGAAGAGACAGGGCCTGCCCAAGGTTACACAGGGAGGGTTTGTGTCCCAGAAAAGCCACGTCATCATTTATTCCCCAAGCAGAAAATTCTGGAGCCTTCAGTTCTACCTCGGAATAATGAGCTCGCGTAAGAGCAAAAAGAGGAAATGAAGACCCACCAGGACCCCAGCCCACCAGAACACGCTTCCCACGCCGCCTACTTTCAGAAGGATCTTAAAAACCTCAGGAACAGATTCCAGCTGCACCACCTGGGGAAGGCCCTGGAATCTGCGCCGGCTGAAGCTCCCGGGGCTGCCGGCCCAGCCTGTGTGCCCTCACCCCTGCCGCAGAATGAGCCGGGAGCTGACCACTGAGACGGAGGACAGAGGCCACTCGCTACAGCTGCACCGGGATGGAGAAAGAGCAGTGGGCTGGGAATCGGTGATCGCCCACCCCGTGTTCAGGGACAGATGTGGACAGGGCCACCTGTTGGCCCAGGTCACACTGAAAATAGTTTCTCCTCGGCACGTCTCTTAAAAACCCTGAGCCTTGCACCAAAGCAGCAAGCAAGAAAAAGCAGCTACTTAAATCGGAAGTGCGCCATAGTGCAAGCCAGGCAGGGAGACCCAGTCGCCCCTTCCACCCAGGGCTCCAGCCAGAGCAGCTCTCACAGAGCGCTCTCGCGGTTCCTTCCTGTGCAGGGCAGGTGGGCCTTCCAGAAGGTCAAGACGACCCACCGGGTGCCCCAGCTGGAGCTCACGGGACACGTGACGGACGCTCAGCCCAGAAGCTCGGCACATGGGACAGCCAGACCCGAGCCCTCCTGCAAGCACGCTGCACCCGACGGCACGGCAGAGGCAGTTCTGACCCCAGCTGGCCGAAGGAGGGCAGACCCCACCGGGCAGGGGGCGAGGGGGCGGCCTGGCCTCGGAGGTGATCCCAGCCCCGCCCCCACGGTCTGGATGAGCCGACAAGTTTTGAGGTGGGTCCAGGGCATGCACAGCACCCCTGTAACTGAGAATTGGAGGGAACTGGGGAGAGCCCCAAATCGGGCCAGCCACGAATGCGTGGGACGCGGAGCCTGGGGCCGCCATTCTTTGAGACCAGCCGAGGTCAGGGTCGCTCTCTGGTCATGGCAAATGAGAGGAATAAAGGGCTATACACACGGTGAGAGGCAGACCGGGCAGTCCACGTACCCCGATGATGGCGTTCAGCTCCGTCATGGTGACCTGCTTGGCGCGTTCCACGGCCTGCGCCACCTGCTGCTGGTGCTGGAGGGGACAGGGTGAGCGTCAGACGTGCGGCGGGGGACGGGGACCCACCCAACAGGCACAGCCGCCAGGGAGGGCGAAGGCCGGGCCACTTCTTTGTCAGCCTTTCCCAGTGCGCGGAGAGCACCTAGGACTACTTAGGCAGCCCCACCTCACGCAGCCACACCTTCCTGCTCACTGTGGCGGTCTCAGACACGACGCGTGTCCGAAGACGGCTGTCCGTCATCCCTCGCCCTCAACTGCACACGCACAGTAACCTTTTCCCCACGCTTCTAACGTGAGCTGTAGTGGACGGTATTCCAGCAGGGTGACTACCGCTCCCAACACGGCACTGGCCTCATGTAGGAGGGTGTCCCTGTTGTCAGAGACACGGTTACTGCCGCGGAGAACTGTCAGGGTGTGTGCATTTACACCCAGTGGGTTCGGAAGTCCCCGGGTCTCTACAGACCTCAACTGTCAGGTCGCCGGAGAAGTCGGGACGCAGCTTTGCATAGAAAAAACACGCCGTGACTTCTCCGATGACCCAATGGGTATGACCGAGTAGGAAGAAGTAAAGCACGTGCCGAGATAGAAAAAGAACGGGGCAAAGTGACCCAGTGTGAGCTCGGGTGCGAGTGACAGTGCAGACTTGTCGGATGTAACACAGCAGCCCTCGGTGTGGGGTGCTGAGGGTACGAGAGACTCCAGAAGTCCCTACACCTTTCACTTCGGTCCGCTGTGAACCTA